AGTCTGAGCATAACTGGGCTTTCAGAGTCAAGAGTTTGTGTATAAATACCGGACAATGTAGCACTTTAAAGACTAACAAGATGGTTTATTAGCTGATGAGCTTTCGTGGGCCAGACCGGAAGTGGGTCTGGCCCACGAAAGCTCATCATCTAATAAACCATCTTGTTAGTCTTCAAAGTGCTACATTGTCCTGCATTTTGCTTCAACTACCCCAGACTAACACGGCTACATTTCTATCACTGTATAAATACCATAACAGTGGGAAGACAGAAGGAAAGACAGAGAAACCCAAGTTTTATACTTCTCTGTACGCAAATATAAGAGGGATTTTAGTGAATTGTACATCTCCCCATGAACTTCCTCTTGGTATGCCATGGGACAGGAAGCCAACAAAATCCATCTTCCCCTGGATAGTCTTTGTGTGGCCATGTTACACTGAGTTGACCTGTTCAGTGTCTCATTCAAGCCTTGTCTCCACTTACCAGGAGATCGACACTGCGGAGATAAATCTCTCAAGGTTTGATTTAGCTGGTCTAGCAAGGACCCACTAAACAGACCACTGAACACACTCCCATCAACTCCAATTCTCCATCAAGTCACAAGGAGTAAGAAGTCAACAGAAAAGTTCTCCCATCAACCTCCCGTAGTGGACGCTATGGAAATTCAAACTAAGTTATGTCTATTTGAGCTATGTTACTCATGTCGCTCAAGTTGCGCATCTTAGTTGAACTTTATCTGTTAGTGTAGGCCCACTGTAAGACACAGCGAGCCGAATGTGAGAGAAAGAATGCTCACTTTCTTCTCAGGAAACATTCCTCTGCCTGAGTTGCTTGTTGTAGCATGTAGCATCCTTTCCACAGAGCCCTCTAGTAGTACGACTTGGCACATACAGCTTCTAGTGAGCCTGCAACATGCTGCACTTCTGTTTAAAAGCATTTCTGTTTAAAAAGTAACGGATTTAGAAACATAACATCTATTCACTAATGTCTTCAGAGTGCTAGGAGCTGGCCAAGATAGGTAACAGACAAGGAGCTTACCCTCTGACTAGCACTGTAAAATATACTGTAGAAAAAATAATGAACCTAATTTTCAGAAAAGAGTCCATAACAAGCCAGGGCCCACTATAAGAAAATGAATAAATCTGTAAAATTGGTCTAGGATTTCCTGTTATTCGTGTGTACTGTGTGTCCATTTCAAGAGAATGAATGTTTATCCTTTTACATATTCAGAGGTTCCTGCATGGACAAAAAGTTATAATTTAACTCTAATAATTGTGTTTCTGGAAAGGCAATGAGATCCATGTCAAAGCTCTTAAAGGAAATGCTCCTACATACAATCAAGGACTATGTGCAACTCTTGCAAGCTAGCAAAGATCCAAATGCCAAACACTTTCTATAATATTTGAATCAGTGGGACATTAATAACTCATCCCCTTAATGTCTTTCCTTTCACCAAGCCATAAAACATTGGCCCCAGACCTTATAATAATCGTAAAAATCACAGAACACTAGAACTGGAAGGGACCTCAAGAGGTCGAGTCCAGTCCCCTGCCCTCATAGCATGACCCAGTACCATTTAGACCATCTCCGATAGACGTCTATCTAACCTGCTCTTAAATATCTCCAGAGATGGTGATTCCACAACCTTCCTAGGCAACTTATTCCAGTGTTTACCCACCCTGACAGTTAGGAAGTTTTTCCCCATGTCCAACTTAAACCTCCTTTGCTGTGGTTTAAGCTCATTGCTTCTTGTCCTATCCTCAGAGGCCAAGGAGAACAATTTTTCTCCCTCCTCGTGACACCATTTTAGATAGCTGAAAACTGCTATCATGTCCCCTCTCTGTCTTCTCCTTTCCAAACTAAACAAGCCCAAGTCTTTCAGTCTTCCTTCATTGGTCATGTTCTCTAGACCAGGGGTGGCCAACCTGTTAGCGCTGAAGAGCCAAAATAGCGGTGGACAGAGTGTGAAGAGCCACGTACCAGGGCGGAAAGTTGACAAAAAAAAACAAAAAACCCAGCCATGCTGGGGGGATACAGGTGCCGGTATCCTATCTCAGGGAGGGGGCTCTAGGCTGGACAGTGTTGAGGTCAGGTGGAGGGTTGGGGTGCTGAGCAAGCTGCAGGCTTGTGTCTGTGAGGGTGCAAGAGTTTGGGCTTGGGTGTATGGGGGGGTTCAGGGCAGGGAGGCTGGGAGTAGGATGGGCTAAGGACACAGGTTTACAGTGTGTGGATGGCACAGGAGTGTTGTGACAGAAGACTGGGAATGTGGGGGTGCAGGAGTTTTGGGGATGTGAGAGGCTCAGGACAGGGGGTTCCAGTGTATGACAGGCTCATGTTTGGGATCTGGGGGAGTGCAGGAGTGTTATGATGCTGTGGCCAGATGGGGGCTTGGCCCCAATTGGGGGCTTGTTGGCCAGACTTCATTTTTAAATAAAGTGTATAAACACAATATGTTTCAGCACTCTTTATTTAGGAGAGGGGCGGGGCACCTGTTTTGAGTCAGGGATCACTGACCCACAGAAAAAAGTCAGTCAGGGCTACACAAGTGAGATGCAAAAAATCAACCCCTCCAAAAAACCCCAAGCCTCACTAATGTGGCCCCAAATGTGCTGGTGCGGGCAGAGGACAGAGTACTGGGGCGGGTGGCAGGGTGCTGGGGGGGAGGGGAGGGGACGGACAGCTCGGACGGTACCTGGGGATACGGGGTCTAGGGAAATCCTCCCCCCCCCTCCCCCCCGCCTGCCTGCCTCCTTGCAGGAGTCCCGGGACTGCATGCCAGCTCCAACTACTCAGGAAGTACGTGCTCTTCCTCTGCTCCCCACAACAGCCACATACTTCCTGAGAAGTTGGAGCTGGCATGCAGTACTTGGATTCCTACTCCCTTCCCTTTCCCCCACTCCAAACCAATCCCTATTCCATCCCCTCCCCTGAGAGCCAGGGCCCCCTGCCTGCTCTAACCCAGTCCCCCTCCTCTCCCCTCGAGCCACCCCCACCCACTCTAACCTAAGCCCCCTCCCCACAACCTTATGCCCGGGTCCCAGAGTGAGTGCCACTGCTACTGCCACGCACCTCTCTCCAGGCGCTAGGGCGCGTGCTCTGATTGGCCAGATTTGAGCATGTGCTGGTCGGGATGCCTGGACAACATGTGCACCCCTCCCCCCACCCAATCCAACTCTCCTCCCCTTCCCCAGAGCCCGACACCTCCCTTCCCTGCTGTAACCCAATCCCCCTCCTCTCAACCCTATGCCCGGGTCCTGGAGCAGAGCTGCTGCCACCGATCCCCAGGCACTGGATGTGTGCGCTGAGCGACCAGCTTTGAGCGTATGCTGGCCAGGACACCATGCGCACCACCACCACCACCACCGATGCCACTCCCCTTCCTTCCCTTCTTCAGAGCCAGGCATCTCCCTCCTGCTCTAACCCAATTCTCCCCCTTCAACCTTATGCCCAGGTCCCGGGGATAGAGGTGCCGCTGCACCTGGAGCTGGAGGCACGGCCGCTGCCTGCACTCAGTGGCCGGCTGCTAGCATGTGCGTGCTGGGACACTGAGTACGACTGGCCTGCACATGCAGGATATGAAGTAGTGCGCTGGGAGCCGTGAGCAGAACGGCGCAGGGCGTGAGCAAGCACGCATGCGGTTCACAGTGGCTGGGGCACAGTTCCGTCAGGAGCCGCAATTTTTTTTCGTGAGCGGTGGGTTGGCCACCCTTGCGCTAGACCTTTAATCATTCTTGTTGCTCTTCTCTGGGCCTTCTCCAATTTCTCCACATCTTTCTTGAAATGTGGTGCCCAGAACTTGACACGATACTTCAATTGAGGCCTAATCAGTGCAGAGTCGAGCAGAAGAATGACTTCTCGTGTCTTGCTCACAACATTCCTGTTAATGCATCCCAGAATCATGCTGGCTTTTTTCGCACCAGTATTACACTGTTGACTCATATTTAGCTTGTGGTCCACTATGACCCCTAGATCTCTTTCTACAGTACTTTCCTAGACAATCACTTCCCATTCCATATGTGCAAAACTGATTACTCCATGTAGGATGAAGTTTAATAAGGACAAATGCAAATGTTCCTATTTACCTGACTATGTCCCCAGTTAGTCCAAATCATTTTGAATTAGGACCCTATCCTCCAAAGCCTTGCAGCCCCTCCTCCAGCTTCGTATCATTTGCAAACTTAATAAGCGTACTCTCTATGCCAATATCTAAATTGTTGATGAAGTTATCAAACAGAACCAGTCCCAAAACAGACCTCTGTGGAACCCCACATATGACCTTCCAGCAGGTTTGTGAACCGTTAATAACTACTCCGAGAACAATTATCCAGACAGTTATGAATCCACCTTATAGTAGCCCCCATCTAAGTTGTATTTGCCTAGTTTATGCAAGACAGTATCAAATGCCTTACTAAAGTCTAGGTACACCATTTCCACCTCTTCTCCCTTATCCACAAGGCTCGTTATCCCATCCTATTTATTAGGTGAAACCCTCCCTGCACTGCAACCCTCAAATTATGAGTTCTTTACTAACGTCCTCCCTATAAAAACACACAAGACCCTTAAAGACACTGTCCTCAAAGCCAGAAAGCGGTCTTCTCTTTCACTACTATTCACTAGATTTTGAAACAACCTTTGGTTTCCTCTAGTAAACTAGAATCAAACTGGGTCTTTTGCTAGAAGTAGGAGGAAAGCACTGGCTTTGCAAGGTCACATGGTGAACCATGCAATTTTGAAACCTGAGAAAAGCAGCAATATGTATCTGCCTGACCCCTCCCTTGGGTGTCCAACATGGTTATGGGACAAGAAACTTCACATTCTGTCTGGCAGGTTTGGCAGACAGAAATAATGTCAGTGCCCATCTGCAAAGAATCCAAGTGAGAGAGAAGACACTTGATTTACACTGGTTTGAAAACAAAATGAGGGGAGGATCAAACCCATAGTTTGTTCTTGTTTTGTTTTTGTACGGAGTGTTATCAGGTATACATCTATAGGCAAACTCACCACAGCGGTCCCTAATAACCAGGTTTCGGCCTTGTTTCAGGTGTATTGTCAGTAGGTAAGTAAAGGAGCTGGGTAAGCTGCTTAAACTGTCATTTCCTTCCTCAAGAGCCTGTGGTAAGAGAAAAGTCAGTTTCAACACATGTAAAAATGCACACAAAAACATGCTTTCTACATCTGGAGTGACTAGAAATTCTCAGGCCTCATTTCCTCTCCTTATGCAAGGGGCAATCCTGATTATGTAGGTGCAAACACACACAAAACTGACTTCCAAAGACTTTGTTTTGAAGTATTGTCAAAATTACTGGTTTCCTCATATCAATAATAAATCGAGCTGGTCGGGAATTTTCCAACAAAACAGAGCTTTGTTGAAACACGCTGATTTGGTGAACCCAAAATGTCTAATGGAAACATCTTGAGTTTGATTAACTTCTAATCAGATCACAGGCAGGAGTTCCCATATAAACTGATCTGGTTTTCCAGCAGCTTGCTGAGGACCTTCTTGGGGGCTCATAGCATCCACAGCTCCAGAGAAGCTCTGCCATGCACAATGCTCCAGATCCAAGGCAGCCCTATCCTTCCATGGATTGAAAGCTCTCTGCTGCACAGTTGGAAGCCTAAAAATGCTGCAGGCATTTATGGTTTCCAGACTCCCTGATCAAGAGTCATAAAATTCTGGCACAAGTTTCCATGATCCACAGCACCCAGACAGCTACGTAGGCTGCCTTCAGCCAGTTGGCTCCATGTGGTGCCTCAGCTAGGATATTGTTTTTTAATATGAATATGCCTAACTCAAATATGCTTTATGCAAATTGGAGCATGTAACCTGTAATCCCGTGAATTTATATATTCTATTTGTGTGCACATATTCTTATATATGAAGTTAAAAATATGAAGTATAAACCTGTTTATATATCTAGATGACGTACATATGCTAGTGAAGGCCATTAGCAGTAGTCAAGGAACTTAATGGCCCTGTACTTAAAACAATCATCTGTGAATAGTCTTATTTTTCCTGTAAGCTTGAACTATGGTTGATCCTACAAAGACATGTTCCCAGATCACCTGATGCTGGAACCAATGGAGTGGTACTTTTCGGGGTCGAGGAGAGGCAGGGCTGGGAACGTTTAGGAGGAGAAGGTTGAAACCAAAAACAAAAGATTCCCACCTTTGGCAAAATCTATAGGCAGGAAACCAGATAACAAGGGGGAATTAGCAGTTCGAGACACCAAGATACCCTCTGCTTATCACTAAGATGACAGCTGGAAACAATTAAGAGTGAACAGGGGGAAGATCAGGTACAAACTAGCAGGTAACCCAGTTTGTGAGAAAAATTATTAAAACTACAGTTAGGATAAAAAATTGCATGTACCTAGTTTCTGAGAATATTAAGCTTAACTGGCATCTTTGGTTTTATTTTTGCTTAATAACCTTTAATCTTCTACAAAGGAATTTCAAAAGCCAACTACAGAGAAAGTGTGGAATTGAACGTAATGTGAACGTTCACTGAACATTCAATGAACATCACTGGTCATCTGAAGAAGTTGGCTGTGCCCACGAATGCTCATGATACCATCTACATGTTTTGTTAGTCTTTAAAATGCTACCAGACTATCGGTTGTTTAAGTTTTTATTCAAATTTGACATGGCTTGAGCAAAAACCTGAACTGGGTGGCCCATTAGAAAACCTGCAATCCTTACATTCAACACCCACTTGACATCAAAAGCTAAGTATGGGACACTTCCAGCCCACTCAATTAGCCTCATTAGTACCAGCACAACAATTGACAGGTACTTTTTTTCCTCCTCTCTCCCTTCTTTTTCTGCTATAAATTGTGAGGATCTGAGGAAATGGGTTTTAACCACAAAAAATCATGATACTATATATGTATTTGTTAGTCTAAGGTAATACAGGACTACGCGTTGTTTTCAAAGTCACAAGCCAACATGGCTACCTCCTGAGTCTATTTTGAGTCATCCATTATTACTGGCAACCTTTTATATCCAACTTTTTATATTTAAAAAAAATCACTTCTGTTTCTTATCAAATCCCATGCAAATAAATTATACCCGAGAGGAAACAAAAGCTGTGCATCTCTCATTACTAAAGGGGGCAACACCTTATGAGCTTACTTTGCATAAAAATTGTATGCAGAGTAAGATGGATTTATTTGAAGATTTGATCACACTGGGGTCCATGCACTTGAGTGCTATGTCAAGTCTCTGTGACTGAGCCTTCCTAGACTGTTACCCCAACTCTGTGCCTTTGCAGGGGAAGACTAGAGTTTCTGGATTAGTAGGACGGAGGGGGAGGGAGGTTAGGTAGGAGGGCTCAGCAATATGATCAGTTCATCAAGTGACAGTCTCTGTGACCCAACACTTCATACCAGCAATAGACCATTTGGTTTTTCCCCTTTTCAGAAAGCAGCTGCCTTGGTCTGGGAGCAGAATTCATTTTGAAACGGGTGTCCGAGCTTGGAGAGCAAAATTCTTTTGAAATTTCTGGTCTGCAGGAAATATTGAAAATTCCTATGAACTAGAAATCCCAAATTTTAGCCAGCTTTAGCAATAATCATAACCAACACACAATACAAATAATAGTACTGTAATAAAAACATCGCCCACTTCCTATGGATGCGTAATGGGGTAAGGCTGGCAACAGATTTTGCAGGGTCCGGGGGGGAGGGGGGGGGAAGGTGTGCACGCGCGCGTGAGAGAGAGAGACAGAGAGACCTCAGCTCCAGGCCCCCTGAAAGGGCGAGGCCTTAGATGGAAGAGGCAGGGCTAGGAGTCAGCTCTCAGTACTGACTAGTCCAGGCCATGCCTCTCCCAGACAGCTCTTACAGCCCTGAAGTGGGGGAATGCAGAGGGATGGGCTATATGTGAGAATGACAAATAACACCATAGAGATGCATTGCACACGGATGATTTCTATTAACATTTGCAAGAGTAACAAAATTTTTTTACTGCAACTTTCTTTTACTTTCTACATTCATCTTCAGCAAAAATGTTGATTCCTGATAGATAACATTTCTCTGGAAACCTTTCATAAAGATATCTAATATTTCAGTCTCTATGTGTTAGTGCAGCATGTAGATAATCTTGGATGGGAACCCTACATGTTGCCACACTATTAACTATCACCACTCTGGCTGTATATTCTCCAAAAGGATGTCTGATTGATATCATTACTAGAAGATTTACCCAGCACTGCTCAGGTCCTTCAAAGCTGGGGGTGCAAAAGTTAGGCTAGACGACGGGGATTCAGGACAGGGGGTAGGGACAGCCACCAGCTGCTCCCCAGGGTCAGGCAGGGGCCATGCTACCCAGCCCACCTACAGTGTGCCTTCCTGAGGCCGGCATGGGGTAGTGGGAGCCACACAGCCAGGCCTGCCAGTGACGTGGCTCCCCGGGGCTGGCCTGGGACTATTGGAGGCTGTTGGGGGTTTCCTTGCTCACTGTGCCCCTGTGGTCATTCTGGAGTATAATTGTCCCTCTGTCACAGCCCTTCCTTTCCGTTTGATGAGAAACACAGTCAGATTCCAGGCACATCCCATTGATTTGCCACAGCCAAACCCTGACTCTCACAAAGAGAAAGGAAAATAATGGGAGTTTATCATGTTAATGGTTAAAAAAAAAAAGTTTTTAATCTGAAATTTGGATATACAAATTTTGCCCATTCAGCATGCGTGTGTGTGTGTGTGTGTGTGTGTGTGTGTGTGTGTGTGTGTGTGTGTGTGTGTGTGTTACCTTTTTAAGATGGCCCGCATGTGTCATAACTCAATTTACTTTAGACTGTCTGGAGATCGTATTGCCTAGAGACATGGTGTCCAACACGCTAAACACTAGCCACATGTAGCTATTTAGCCAGTTGAGCATAGCTTGTTCGCTACAGAAGTAGCCACAATAGAGGCTATTACTTCAGAACTGGTTGGACACCATGGACCTAGAGGATGATAAAAGATTAATTGAATAGTTAAATCTTAAGCCCATATAAAATACTAAAATGGCTCTAAATCCATATTCACATAGTATCCTGCTATCCCAAAATCCACCCCAAGATTTCCCTCTATCTTCCAAGTAGTTGAATATTTACCCTAGTGCTTTTGGCAGCATGTTCCTCAAAATTAAGCAATTTGTTAGTATCAGATTTTCTATGTGCAATGCAATTGGAAAGCTCTTGTGTAGCCTGCCTTTTATTTAGAGCAGTATTTGAAAAATGTGGCAGCATTCATGTGACCTCATTTGAAAATGGTATTACTTTCTTGGCTCTTTTCATGTGTTATTGTCTCACGCCACTTGCCCCCATCCCCACCCCCAAAACTAAACCAAAATATTTTAAGGAAGTTGAAGGTTCAGCTGTACAGTATACTCTGACAAAAGCCCTGCAAATCCACTTTATATTCACAGCTCATTTTTGCAGAGACAGATGTGGATGCGGATACACATTTTGTATGTAGAAGCCTGCAAATCTGCAGATCTCTGCTTTGTATCCACAGGTCATTTCGCAAATGAAAATGCGGATGTGGATACTCATTTTATATCTGTACAGGCGGCGGGGCCGACAGCCATCATGGGCCCTAGAGTAAGGTGGGAGGCAGCCAGGCTCCGTGCTCCCATTGCACGGACCATGGCTTGATCTCCCCCACCCAACTCCAGCCCTCGGAGCTGTGTAGGGCAGCAATGTGGCAAGGGTGGCCGGTAAGTTGAATGTCTGGGTCCTCTCCCATCCTCCCCCCAACCCATCAGCTGGCCTGAATGCAGGGCTCTACCTTTCTCTGTAAGAAGCTGAGATCTAACTAATCCCCATTTGCCCAGAGAGTCTGCTCAAGACTCAAACATTCTGAAACACATAAACTTACAATTTGTTCATCAAAAAGTTGAGAGGACATTGAAGAGTCCAGATCTAGCCCTCCACATGGATGCTGTTAAAAAACAAAATTTAAAAAAAGGTCGTCAAATAAGCAAAAGAAATACTGGGATCTCCTTCACTTACCACAACAAATATTCTCAGTTCTTCATATTCTATGCAAAATGTATGAAAGAGACACCCTTGAACCTCTACAGTTCTCTGCCTTTTCAACGAGAGATGGCAGGGGCAATAAGCTATCCATAGCCCCTCCCCCTTCTGCACAAAGGGCCTGTCCTTTCTGCCTGACACCTTCCTCCCCTTCTGGGGCATGGAACTGCCCCCTGCGCCTTCTCCAGGGGCCTGGTAAGTCCACTGGCCCCTCTGTTCCCAAGTAGAAACAGGTATGAGCTACACTAATACAAGACATCTTTACACTGGTATAACTGTATCCACACTAGTGGCTGTATCAGAGTAACTATAATTGGTTTAAAAAAAAAAACCACACACACACACACACACACACACCACACCCCTAATCCATAGACTTGTATTGGCACGGTGTGTAGATCAGGCATCAATCATAAAGCGAACAGATTATCTTGAAATATTGCTATCTTCATTCTCTGATGGCAGGTCCACACAAAAAAGAAGAGCCTTCTAGTTCTTCCAGCTATTGGAATTAGATTACCACTTTGCATTCCAACAGTCCTCGTGATGCTGTACTTGTAGATAGTGAGACATTTGTCACAATCTTAACTCAGGTGCTTTTAAAAAAAAAAAGCGGGAGCATATCAGAATAAGAGCGAGGTGAAATTTCTAATTCACTTTCTCAATCCAAGGGCATAGGTTTTATTTCCAATGAGGAATCCTTATAATATGACTATTTTAGTTCTGAAATCTCAGCTTGGGGAGAGAGGTACAAGAAATCAGACTACTGTAAAACTCCAATAGTCCAGCATCCAATAGTCCGGCACTCCTGATAGTCCGGCATCAAAATGGCAAAAGCCTAGTGAATGAGCTTCGGAAAAAAAAAAAAAAAAAAAAAAAAAAAAAAAAAAACAAAAGAAAAAAGGGGCAGGGGCGAACCGAGGGA